CGGGGAAATAATTACGTTATCACGAGAATCTGCACTTTTGATTTCTATTGGAGCACATTCAGTCAGTAATATTTCTTTTATATGACAGCTACTTACAATTCTTTTTTAAAACAAACGACTTCAAGATATAATTTATGCTAACGATAACTATATTGGCCAACGACTAAAAGAAAACAAATCGTCTTTTTATATCGACACGTGCATTACCGTACATTTCTCATGCAAATCCTTGTTTACGTCGTCATAACGAGATAAGAGTTACATAATTAGACAAATCAGTGGCACGAAATGTTTATTTGCGATTTTGCCTATCTCGATATTCTTCATTTCTTGCTTTACATCGTCTAGTAACTGTTGCAATAGCAATAATATTTCGATATGCTTGTTTATTCTATATTAACACTTCCAGTCTTAACGCGGATAAATAACAAAAAAAATTTCATGTTATCGCATATGAAAGATAAGCTGCAATATAACAGATAAAAATAAATATTTTATTGAAACGCGTAAGAAAAAAATGCCTCGATTAAAAATTGATTACGTCGCGAAAACAATGTACGCTCGAATTACTATTGTACACATGTTATCGACGCTACTAAATACTGATTACATAAGAACTGTGATATTTTGACATTTTCAGAAATAGCAAATTCTTCTCTTTCAGTCTAAGAAGAAAAAAGAATGCATCTCGAGATAGACACGATCGAACAATCCTATTTCGATTGCTTCAAGCGTTTGTCACGCGTATGCTACGTTTCTGTGATACACACGTGTCTATTTTTAGCCAGTTCTTTTAGCGCACTATATAATCCGAATCACGTTTCAAGCGCAACAGCATCTCTCCTTATCAATTATTTTCGACATTCAACGCAGGGGATACTCGGCATTAATCGTAAACCTTCAATTTCAATTATGTTAATCGAACTTGGAGTAGAAGCTCTTTCATGAGAGACAAATTTTTAAAACGCATATTTCAATTCTTCCAGACGAGTGAGTCGTTTTTATTAGACTAATCATCCGTTTAAGAGTATAATTGCGATTCGTCAGTATGTTTGCGATTAATTCCCAAGATTATTGTGCGTAGTACGTCCTCGAGTGTCTCTATGAGGTGAAAGACAGATTTCCGTGACTCACGAGCTAAGCTATAATCATCTGGCGCTACAAGTGAACGTGTTCAAGATTTTACGTCGGAAGTTTTTGTTTTCGTTTTTCTTCAATTAACACTGAAGCTGTGACGGTCACCGGCGCATTATACTAGTATGTTTCGTTGATGCAAAATAGAAACTGTAATTACATTCAACAAGCTAAGTAGCTATATAAAGAATGCATTATACGCAGTAGTTAATGTATTTGCTGAAAATTTCGTTTGTTTATTTCTAATCATTTATTATAGCGATAGCAAATGTGACTTTCAGAACCTTGTAAACACGTGCACAGCACGATTTAGTAAAGCAAAATGACTTTCGTCTCAAATAAACAACGAAGAATTTGTCAATTTGTTTAATAATAAATGTATAATTTAAATTCCGTTAGTCGCTGTATTTTTTCAGATATAAAATATTATGAAATATACATATTAATTGCAAAAGATTCACTCCATTTTGTATTCATTAGCATTGTATGATTATTTCAAGAGTTCGATATTTTAAGTATAAAACGATTTCATTTTGCGAAGAAAATGTCGACAAGTTCTGATATTTTCTTTGATTTAATTCTTTGATTATTGAAATGTCAGATAGATTTTCTCTGAAAAATACTTTGAATTTTTATCATAAATTGTACCACATGTCGACTTATCGAGAAAAGTATCACGTCGTAAACATTCGCGTTAGTAAACTTAGAACCGGTATACCAAAGAATAAACAAACCGGTTTGACGAACAAGTTTTATGTAACTTGTAAAATGCGACATAAAATTTCTATCAGACAGAAATATTGAGACATCAGACATAATGAAATATTTTCAATTTCTATTAATACGCGTGAATATAAATATTCCAAAAAAGTATGGCAGAAACATTTATCTCAATCGATGAAAAAAGTTAAATTCCTTCTCTTCTCATTAGTCTATTTCACATTATTGTTTAGGAAAATCAGTGGAAAATCAACGAACCGTACAGCAGCAATCCAAAGAAAACTGTCACTTTTGCAAAGAAATGAAAAGAAGAAATCTGGCAGTTTACATAAGAAGTAAATCACGAAGCGATTCCTGTTACGAAGGGATTCAAGAAGAAGAGGAGAACGACGTAATGTACAATGAGAGAAAAACCGTAAATACCGACCGAAATAAGTCGGCGAAATCGTCATGCAGTGCAAAGAAATCATAGCTTCTTAGTATAATACTTAGTATAATAATTACATAATGGTCACAACAATAATATTAATTTTATATTAAGATGAGCATAACATGCAAATGTAAATATAAGTACGTATACACTGAAAAAAAATCAACTTAATAAACACATTTAGTTTTAAAATATTGTTATAATTAACTAAAAACATAATTTCATTATATACACTGAAAAAAAAAATTTGTTCAACTAACTAAACACATTTAGTTGTTTGCAGATTTGGTTAATTCAACAAATTTTATTTAATCGAATTCAATCGTAGTCTGCTTAACAATGTTCAATATTAAGCAAACTACGATTAAATTATCTATTATTACTAAATGTGTTTAGTTAGTTGAACAAATTTTGTTTTTCAGTATACATAAAAAGTTCAGTGTAAGAAATTATGTTTTTAATTAATTATAAGCTAATATTTTAAGTTTATCATTAAGGAGGTTGTAAGGCAAATGCAATATGTTAAGAATTACTTGAAAAAATTACAGTTTATTCTAAATTGCATTTAAATTTAATACAAAAAAATTAAAGACAGTTGACATCTGGATCAAAAATTATTTCAATAAAAAGTAATATTTTTTAAATTTGTACTCTAATAGAAATATCTGGAAATGTATTATAAAATGATGAAATAAAAATCTCAATTTTTTTTATAAGCACTTTATGAATTCAAAAATATTTGTATAAAATTACATTGAAATGCAGACACTAATTGCTTTAAATAAACAAAATATTTATTTGTTATAAATTAATTGGTGAATCTCAATAAAACTTCGCATAAGTCATTTTTAGTACTTAAAATATTTATATAAAAAATTTAGATTTTTGTTATTATTTTTAAAATTTTTGTCCATAACAATAAAATATCAAATAAAATAAATAATCTATAAAAATGTGTTGCTCAATAAAAACAAATTGTTATGAACACAACTTTCACAAGTATGTAGTTTGTGCAAGGCATAAATATTAATATATACGTTTTATGTCTTTACAACCTCCTTAAATGCTATGTTTCTGAAAATACAAAACGATAAAAGAGAATCGATTTTTGAATTGTTTTGTATTTTATATATATATGTGCAACACAATTTTTAAAAATTATAGGTGTATAAATTAAGTACTTAAATTGGAACAAACTAGATGTTATATCCTTAAAAGTAGGTGTAAGTAAAATGAATTTCCGTTAATGAATAAGAAGATAAAGTTAAATTAAGATTTATAATAATTAATTTATACTGAAGTATTTGTGTAAACAGAAATATTTTATCATTACTACTTCATACATTCTTTCGGTCATACATTATGCAAGAATAAATTTGTTCAACATTGATCATACGCTAGTCATTTAATAAATATCTGCGTATTATAAATGTAAATGTTAATACGCTTCTAAAAATATTAATCACTAAGACTATTTATTATGACTGTTAAATTTTATAAATCATATTGACGTTTGCACGAATTAGATTTATACTATTGAAAAAGTAAAAAAGAGAAAATATTATTAACACTTAATACACATCATTTGGGTCATTCGTGTCCTGTGTATTTCTTTTCTTTGATTTATATATATATTAGGTGTAGTAAAAAGAAATCCATTATTTTAATTTATATACACAATTTATATACAATTTATTATAAATATACGACTTACTTTCATGTCAAAATATATTGGGTCATTTAAAAAGTATCCGCGGTTTTTAGATGACCCAATATGTAAAAATTGCTTAATAATTTTTATATACTTATAAGTGATGAAAATTAATCTAGAACATGAAAGATCCATTGTGTGTAGTAAGGATGCCAAAAACTAATGTATGTTACAAGGGTTAAATCAATTGTAATTTTAGAATCAGTTATCTTGCTTGAGACAATAAGAAAAAATATATTTAAAATTGTACGTTTTAGTGATTTTCACAAAAAGTTTAGCAAAATCAATGATGAAAAAATTCAATGAAATCAATTCCATTACAACTTCATAAATTAACTGCTTGATACATAAGACTGAATACATTCTTAGGATAAGTGTATAGCGAAATAAGTTAATTTAAGTACATATTATTATTATTATGCTGACACAATAATGTACGACGTACTTCTGAGAAATAAGATTTTAATTTTTTTTATAGAGGAAATATTGTAGGAGCCAGAATTAATTGATATGCTTTTTCTTTACTTGCAATTATTTTACTTGTGATATAACAATTGTATCTTAAAATATGTATTTTAGTTTGTATGATCAGACATAACAAATTACGTTGCTATCATAAGCATTTTTACTTTCCATACTTGCATAATTTAAATAAAATTATCCAATGATTTGTAAACATTAAGAAAAAAATTATTATAAGATATAGTAATAATAATTTCAAGGATATACATAGATGTCTATTTTTTCTTTCTCTTCAGTAGAAAAATTATCACCATAAACTATCTAAATTTATTTATATTGGATACTATACAGAGCAGATTGCTATTTTATATAATCACAAAGTGCATGAAGTAAAAAAGTATTAATATATAATAATATTTTATAACAAATTAGAATAGATTATGTAAGGATTATCGCGTAAAGTCTACATTTATTTCTTTATATCTATTCGAAGATATTTTCAAGCTTTCAATTTTTTTAAAGAATGTGTTTATTGAATTTGCAGTAATTTTCATATTTCCGTTAATTTAAAATATACTAATAGTACTTACCTTTAATAGCCATGTCAACACTGATTCACGGTACGGCACAAAACCTTGTTTACGATTGTTTGTGTTCTCTGTGAGTGATGCAATTACTTTTCCCAAGGTAAGTAAAGACTTGTTAATAGATACACCTTCCTGTTGAATAAAGCGATATATATTACAGTATTATCAATTATTTAATGAATAAAATGTATCAGAAACTGACCCTTAATCTATCACCAGTTGCAGAAGTTTGACTCAATCTCTCACTGCCAGCTAAGTCAACCAAATTAATTTTACTACGACGATCAGCATCAAGTGGCTCACAATTCAACTTGTTATCTATATGCGTCTGAGTTAATATAATACTGAAAATGCTGTGAGACCGTGAGCTTTTCTCATTCATACCAGTTGCGGCCGTGGCTCTTTGCGAGTTTCCTACTTTAAGCCAAGTCTAAAAAGATTGCGTCAACAAAGAAATAAGTATATATTTAAACAATCATAATTATGTCATGAAATTATGAAAGTACCTGTAAGTCTTTATAGTTTTGCACACAATGCTGACTCAAATCCACGACGTAGGGTCCAAAGACAGGATGTTCCCTTACTTTAAGGGGTGCCTTCTTCGATCCATTATTAGTATTCGCCAACAGATCATGTATTTTTTCATTATATATTTCAAAATAGCTAATTTCTACGGTAGTCTCGATCTGTGGATTGTTACACGCTCGTGTAAATATTTCCTGGCAAAATCTTGGTATGATACCGACTCTCTCGTCAAATGGCGTTGCGCTTAATTGCACAGATTCTGTGCCCATTAAACTATAACTTTTTCCTGATCCCGTCTGTCCATACGCGAACAAGCAGACATTGTATCCCTCAAAAGCATTTTGTACTAAGGGCAACACCATATTGCGAAAGACGACCTCTTGATTGGCATGACCAGGTGTAAGCGGATCATTGTATGAGACAAAGCAATGATCATACATAAAAGTGTGATGCGCAGATTCGCATTCCACAACAACATTCTGACCATTTCCTTCTACAATTGTAGTAACCTTTGGATCATTTAATTCTCTGAAATAACAAATATTGTGTGAGTAATGAAGTGTTTGCTAGCAAATATAGAATAAAAATAGAAAACAAAAAATAAATTAAGAGTAAAGAAAATCAAAACTTAAAATCTTCAAATTAATTAAATTTTAATTAATATCTTATTGATAAAACAATTTTATCAGTAAGAAACATTACATACATATAAATGTATTAGTCTTTCAAAAATTATAATTTGATATATGAATATTTCAATTTTAAATAATTAAATGTACACATACAAATATATTAGGTGTTGGAATTAATTCGTAGCGTTTTACAAGTGATGGGAAGTACTTTCATTAATGTATTTTTTAATGCTCATGTGAAATAAATAACATTCTTTCATTAAAAACGCTACGAATTAATTCCAACACCTAATAAAAATTTTTTTTATTATATAATGGTTAATCTTACTTGGAATTCAAGGGTCTGATGCGTATTCCAACTGTAAGATTGCTACTTTCACCATCATATATTGTCTGTTCTCCAACAACTATGTCATCAATTTTCTGGGATGGAGTTTCCAAGTGTACCACATTAAAACAGTCTGGTGTGCTTTGTGATAGAGCATGATCGCTGAAGTAACGTTTCACAGGTGTCCTTGCAGTGGATAAAACATTGAATTTGGTATTGGCACTGGATGTATTTATTCTCTGCTTAGGTGTATAGAATTGTATAGCAGGTATTTTTTCATTGAATGATCCGCTAACAAATTTTGTTGTTTTAATTGGGGTCTTTACATTCCTTTCAATGGATGCGACATTACTAGATACATCTTCCTGTTTTGTTAGGTTTGTAAGTTTTAGACATGATTCTGTATTGGATGATTTGCTTGGAGGCCCTAAGGTTTCTGCTATTTCAGGTTTTGAAGATTCCTTCTGTAAAGGACATTGCACTACCTTGTTTGTATTCTGTCCCTTTATTGAAACTGATGACTCTTTGGACAAAGGAGGATACACATTTTTCTTTCTGCAATAAAAATCATTATTTTATTTTGTTAAATTATTTTATTTATCAAACATAATAAGATTAAGACTGGGTTGTTCCATCTTTCGGTAAATTTCAGCTCACTGTTTTACTCTCTTATTCCCTTATGCTCTCCTTATACTCTTATTTTTTTATTTACCTAACAAATAAATTATCATATAGTTTATCTGAAAATAGAACAATCAGCCCTAAATGAAAAGAGAAAATGAGATTTAAAAAAAAAACATTTCTAATTTTAACTTTTATCATTTTAATATAACTACATTTGTATATTTGATTTATATAAACATAAATAAAAATGGAAAAATTTTATTTGGAAACAATGCGTAGTTTACGCAATGTTTATCTCGATGACGTGTACGATAATTTTTCATTCTCTCATCTTGCAAGTGACGGTTAAACAATGTCAAGCAAACTTGGTCTTACGTTTTTATCGCAGGGACGGTGTTTTCCTTGTTAGAACTCCTCGGCGAAGTCGAGAAGATAGCTTCGCAGTACCCGTGGCTAGAAGATTTCAAGCTCTGGTGAGACATTTCGATAGAAATCGCAGAAAAAAAGCTACTTGGTTCAGTAGTGAGATGATGCAAACGGAATTTAAACGAATTTGAGTTTTGTGACCTAACTTTACGAGGCACGGGACTCACAGCACGAAGTATAAAAAATATAGACGCGACGCATGACGAGAATTCGTCCTCTCTCTGGAAAGCTAGGGGCACAGTATAACAGTATTATAGAGTGGGTATAAAGAGAATGGCGTCAATGCATGTGCCTAACGCTGATTGACTCCGCCATTAAGTGTCCTTAGGGAGCGTTTATATGTGAGCGCTCGCTGTGGTGTATTCTTTTAGATCATCCAATCAGTATTTTAGATCTGGAAGAATACATCAAGCTTATAGCAGTAAGCTATTGGTAACTGATGGTAAAGTTGGAAACACAATGAAGAGCACAAATGATAGAAACGGGAAATAACAAATTTTAACCTATCAGAAACTATATATTCTAGAATGGACGCTTTCTGATAGGTTGAAATTTTTTATTTCTATTGCCTGTGCTTTTCATTGTGTTTTTAGCTTAACCCACCGAAAGGATCCGTGAGGTCTATCACGTTCGTATCCAAACTCGGAAGGTCAAACTGGTTGAAGCCTCGAAGGCGCTCGAAAGTCGAAGGTAGTCGAAGGTTAGGTGGCTGATGGTGGTCGTGGTAGGATTATTAGACAGCAGTAGGGGTGAATGAGGTTAGTTGGGTATACGTGGTTTATATGACGTATTTTACTGGCAAAGCTGCCTTTGATTGTATCTTGCCAGCACAGGCACGTATGTTCACGTCACATCAGGTGAACTCATCTCATTTGTGTCAACGAAATTACAAAGGAGAGCACGATGACAGGGGATAACCGGGCCTCCATGCGCAAATGGATTTCGAGGATAATAGTTACCACGTTTCTCGCGCTCATCATTTTGAATCTGCCGGCGATCTGCGAGGGCCACGACGGCCACAATCACGAGTCACCGAGTTACAAGTATTCCAAAGAAGCCAACGAAATCTACTCAAATGAACATCAACATCAACATCAACATCATCATCATGATGATGATCATGTTCAACATGATCATAAGCACTCTTATTTGACGCAAGCAAATACTTTACATAGGGATCACAGTAATATTATTTTAAGGGCCGTTGGGTCGACCTTAATCATATCTGCTGCACCTTTCTTTATATTGTTCTTTGTGCCTCTGGATAATACTAAACAACGCGAGTCACTGCTCAAGATCTTGCTGAGTTTTGCATCCGGTGGCCTACTGGGTGATGCATTTCTTCATTTGATTCCACATGCGATGATTCCTCATTCGCATGAATGTTCAGAATCGCATTCACATTCTCATTCCCATAGTCACCATGATGAGTCAGGACTTCACAAACATGATATATCTGTTGGTTTGTGCATATTGTTAGGGATGACAGTGTTTCTAATGGTGGAGAAGGCAGTACGCATCGTTAAAGGTGATCACAGTCACTCACATGTCCATCCTGATTCTCAAGATAAAAAAGATAATTTGCTAGAGAAGAAAAAGGAGAAGAAAGAAGAGAAGAAAAACAGCGATAAAACAGTTTCCAAAGCACACAAAACACCTGAAAGTGAAATCAAGATCGCTGGTTATTTGAACTTAGTGGCAGATTTTCTGCATAATTTTACAGATGGTCTAGCTATAGGAGCTAGTTACATGGCTGGAAATAGTATTGGTTACGTAACGACATTCACGATACTGTTACATGAGATTCCACATGAAATCGGTGATTTTGCTATTCTGATACAAAGTGGATACAGTAAAAGAAAGGTAAAGTATACAAATATAATATTATTGTCTATGTTTGCTTGAGAAAAGTCACTCGATCAAATTATATAAAATATGAAATGCGATCAAAGATTCTTGTAATTGTGACCTATTATAAAGTTCAACATGTGCAAAAATTTACAGTTTTAAAAGTTTTCTTATTTTACTATTTTAAAAGTTTTATCATTTTGTTTGTTGTATAGGCTATGATGTTGCAGTTGACCACTGCTATAGGAGCTTTATTAGGAACTTTCGTTTCTTTATTAGCAGATGGAATGGGTAAGAAACATGTAATAATAATATTTAAATAGATATCAGATTTTAGCTTATATTCCATTTAATTTTTGTGTTGTAGGTGATTTTGCAACAAGGTGGATTCTTCCCTTCACAGCAGGAGGTTTTATTTACATTGCAACTGTTTCTGTAATACCAGAACTTTTAACTGCCACTAAACTTTGGCAATCAATTATGGAGATATCTGCACTTCTTTTTGGAGTATACATGATGGTTCTTATAGCAGACTACGAATAAGAAGTACATTGGCTATAGGATAATTTATTTTGTTATACTATTTTCATTCAGTTCATTTCATTCTTACTCATTAAGCTTTGAAAACATTATTGGATAAGTAGCAGCGCAGAAAAGAAATTTGTTTTTAATGCAATTAACTGGAATTGCATTTATGTCTCAGTGAAGAACAAGATTATGAAATGAATGGAATTGTAAAAATAATGTATAACAAAAAAAAGATTTACAACAGTTATTATTTTTACATTAAGAAAAAAATCTCAGTGATTTTGTGAAATATAAAATATTTAAAGATCATTACGATTTATGTACTACTTATGATATTACTTTAATATGACTATAGTGTGTTTGATAATATATATATATTTTGTTATAAAGAGTAATGATTTCATATTTGCACAATTTGTTCCTATACTTTTTTTTATTATATTCAGTATGTTTTTTTAGTTTGCATATGAGACTATATTTGATAAATAATTTATTAGAAATTATATTCCGAATTTATAATGATTATCAAGATAAGTCTGAGATATATATATATATATATATGAAGAGTATTGCAAATAATCAATGTTCAGAGGAAGTACTTAATTTGTTTAACTTCATATTTAGAGTGCCTAAAAAAAGAAAGATCTGAAAATACTAAGTCAAATACTTGGATGAAATAGTAAATACATTTAAAATTGTGGATTAGCTTGAATGATAGCAAATGTATGTTGTGCGCATAAATTTAAATAAGAACGACTAGTTTAATTTTTTATTGCTTATTATACTTATATAATAAATCTATTCTCATGATTGTTTATAATGAATCTTTTTGTTTCTAATAGAGCCTAAATATATTTACTATATATAACTACGATCGTGTGAGACGCACAGTTTGACAGATTTTATAGTGCGATAAGCGGTAATTTTGCTGAAGATGGCTCAAATAGTGAGCCGAAACGTACAAAATTGATTTGATGACTTAATAGGTATTAGTTAGCAAAGTATATTGCGCAATATAATATCCAGCGCTAACTCCTAACGCCCATTTGTATTTTGCCGTTATTTTTTCATTGTACTAAATATATTTTTTGCATGATGTGATATGACTTATAAATGGCATATGCCTGCAATTTGTTAATATAGCTTAATTTAATGCTTTTGAATTTACAATAAGATATAGATAAGATAAAAATTCACATAAACTATGAAATTGCTAAAAAAATGTTTTTCCAAAACAAAAATAAATCACTATAATAAATATTAATACTATATAACACAAAATATATATTATAATAAATATTGGTGCTGTGGATTGATATTCTTTATCGTCGAAATATTTTGCAAAGAAAATTGTAAATACAATCTTGTGCATTAAAATGGCAATCATGTTTATGGCAAAAACTTTTGAGAATGTTTCTTCAAAAAATTATATATACATACTCTATGTTATTATCATATAAATCATTATATAAATATTATCCAATATTTTATATTACTTATTATATTTCTTATTTAATAATGGGAATATGTTATAAATGAAGTTTTAATGTGTTCATTGTGGCATAATATAAGAAATCTAATGTAAAAACTGAAGATGCACAAATTATATCAATAACATTACACATATGAAATATATTAAATTATAACATTCCAAAAGTAAAACGTGTTTTTTATATTAATGACTAGTCTGTTGAATACCAAATAATAAACAGCTTATTTTATTTAAAAAATTGTATTTCGGCATCAGACCTTTATTACAATCATTAAAATTCTTTAAATACTTTTCTACATATATTTACAATGCAAATTCTCTAAATCTTATCTAAACATACATACTTTTAATAAAAAATTAAACTATCTGAGATAATCATAAGGATTTACAACAACAGTAATCTTTTTACTTCCTTGAGACATTCATCTGCTTCTAACAAAGAATCATTGTCTTCTTTACTTTTAGCTATTTTTCTTCCTCGTTGACAAGATTTTTTAGCTTCATCATATAAACCTTTTTTTAAAAGCACACTTCCTAAATTCACGTGAATTGAACCCAAGTCAATCATATCAGGTAAGTTTTCCCCTAAAAATATTATGTAATATATTATATGAGATTAATAATTATAAAAATTATAAGTATATTGATATTCATTAATATCTTTTACCTATTTTTGCTGCAGCAGACAAATATTTAATAGCTTCATCATATTCTTCTCGTATACAACAAATTGTTCCCAAATCATTAAGCAGAACAACAGTTTGTTCGTGTTCTTCACCATTTATTTTTTTACATATATTATAAGCTTGAAGGAGATAATTTAAAGCTTCGGTATATCGAGATTGTGAAAGTAACATTCGTGCGTACCAATCAAAAGCTATACCCTGTAGCAACACAGCATCTTTATTGTCAGGATCTTTTTCAATGTGCGATTCCAAATTTTCCATACAAAATTTATAACCTTGCTCTGCTTTCCTGTATGAAATAAAAAATATATATCTTATATATAATATATTATAATATACTATATTATAATATGTACTAATAACGAAAAGGAAAAATATGATAGAGTAATTAATTAGAAGTATTAATTAGAAGTATAATGATATATTAATTATTAAAATTTAGAATTTCTGCTTTTTATATGTAATCTTTTAGAATATAAATCTTTAATTCCATATCATGCTTTATAAAAAAAAATATAGTTATTAAAGATTATATTGCTTACTTTGGCATGTCAAGATGTTCAAACACTTTGGCCATTTTCAGGCTTATATGGATAACCCGCATATCATTTTCTGTAGCTCCATTCGATATCAGCCTTTGCAAAACTGATACGAACAATTGCTCTGCTTTGCGATATTTTCCAGTGTCGAAAGCAAGATTAGCCATTACGTCATAGATGTATGTAACAGCATCATAATGTTGTATAGTTTGTGCTTGACGTAACGCTAAGTGTAGCATTTGTTCTGCTTTATCATATTCTCCCTTCTATAAAGGGAAAGCAAATGTTGCTGAAACTGTGATGAGATTCAAATGAAGATTCAACCCCTCTTAATATCATTTCATCGTAAACATTTATATATATTAAAAAATGTATTTATATATATATATATATATATATATGTATGAATATTACATGTATATTTATATATATTTAAAATATTTATCCTTACATAAATATTAAATACATAAGATAGTCTCAATATATACATATATCTAACCTGTATCAATAATATGGATCGTTTGATCGTCATAATAACTTCCGGGACTTCTTCGTCGGTATCTTCGATACCAAGAAAATAATTGAAAATTAATGTAGGTAACGATACTGCAAGGAGCATCCTGGATTTTTTCTCCTGTGATTTGTGACTATCGTTGAAGCGATATCTTTCTATCCTAGCGGTAAATCGCGGGAATTTCACAAAAACATTTTTATAAACATGTACATTACGTCGAGTATTCACTCCGGAACGAATAAAATTAATATTTGATAGGACGCATCTTGACATTTGCGATATCGAATTCAGACGATACATTTTGACAATCAGGTGGACTAATGTCAACACTGTTAATCAACACATTGCATTGTAGTACCAGCTGATCATCAGCAGCAAGTGCACCTCTCTTCAAATACTTCGTTCTGTGTTCTGCACCTGTATTCTGTTCCTTCCTTCAGATTGCTATCGATGCTACAAATACTTTGAAACATTTTTTGATTGGTCAACTAGTGAAACTCCTTCTTCTGGTTGGTCAATAAATTTTTACCCGCCGTTTCCGCCATTATTACTGAAACTGCTAAAAGTGAAATTTTTCGACAAATAACCGTCGCTAAATTATTTTGTTTCAAACACCAACGCCGATATATTTGATCATATTTAATGCAAAAATCTATCATGGCTAGATCAGCAAAGTTAGTAAAAAAAAAGTCGGAAAAAATTATAAAAAAACAATAAGATTGGAAAATTATAAAAAAACATTTCTGATATAGAAATCAAATTATAAAAGTTAATTTTGCAACTAATAGTTAGCATTATTTTAATTGAAAATAATCTTATTAAATCAACAGTGTTAACGAAACAAAATTTTATTTTTAAAACAAGATTATAACGTACATGTACAAATTTGTTTCATTAATAGTGTTATTGAATTAAGAAAATTAATTTCAATTAAAATAATGCTGGAGTGTTAGTTAATGGAGCTATTACGTAACATTTGCATTCATAAGTGAGATATGCAATTAAACTTTTATCTATAATCTGCATAAGCTCGAGATCATGTATTTTATTGAATCTTGTTAATATCGCCTTAAAAGTGAGGTTATATAACCTGTGTCGTTATGCGATAACTTTAGATCTGTTTTTTATTTCTGCACTCATCTCTGAACTGGTGCAATAAGTTGAAATGAAACAAACGTATATTTGTTGTTTAGAGACATAAAAACAAGCCTTATCATCAAAGTAGGTAAGTAATGCTAATGACGTCATTGTCTATAAAACTATAACTTTACGACTTGGTATCACTTGAAAATGGAAAGCAATTATTGTGATGCGATTATCCATTAGCTTTACTTTAAAAGCTTTTTGAAAAAAACTTTTTGAGAAATAAGATTAGATCACAGTAGAAGATTTAAAGGTGTCAGCACTAATCATTCCGTTTAATTTCAAAACTTCATCATTGATAAGATACTCGCGCCATTTTTACGTGCGGACGACTTCTTGGCTTTTCACCTCAATTTGTTCCAATTCCAATTAAATTGTAATTTCAATGGCTTGAGAAATTAGCGAAACTGAAGAAATTAATAAAATTAGATTAATTGACTTCACTACATCAGCTTTGTACTATTATTTATCGTTATTATCGTTGAGATAATATCTTTCAAATATATCTATGCAAGCATAGAAACTGCAGGTATAATATATCTTTCATTTCTATCGAGGCGCATTAGAGCGTGCATAATCAGATGTAAATAATCCTGTTACGTTGATATATAATTTCGATTAGATATACAACGTCGCGAGTGTAATCAGAATGCAAACAGTCGCATACAGGTGTGCGATGATAAACAGGTGGATTCGAAGCTTCCCTCTGAATTAAATCTCGATCAATTCGCAATCATTTAAATTCGCGAAAGATCTAACGAGGGCCGTTCACACGGTTCGGATTGTGTGAACACCGTGAACGTGACGGACGATCGCGCGGCAGGTATGCACGCGCGCGTGATCGCACGCATGCAGGTGTTCACTGTGTACACGCATAACATACGCACATACATGCGCCTACGTTTCACGTCGCGCCTACCTCCTCACACCTCCCTGCGACCTGCGACTCCCTCCATCGCCTCGACGTCCCCCGGGCCCCGCCCGTCCTCTACCCACTTCTACCATCGCCTAGCCGTTGTCCCATGCCCCGATGTCGTACACCTTGATTTCGTGATTCGTCGCGCACCTCTTCGGCTCGCGCGGGCATGAGACAGGCCGCATCACTTCAGGTAGGTCTTCCGGTGGCGTGCTCAAACCAGCTCGACTCCACGTTTCTTTTCTTTCTGCTTCGCACGATTCTCTGATCTTTCTCTCCTTTCCCCGTCGTGGATGGTCCAACGTCGCGCGAGATTTCCCGTTTAGGACACTCGGAGGTCCATCGCGCGAAACCTGATGTACCCGACCGACCGGGGATTTCCGCGTTCCACGAGTACCGTGCCAGATCGAGGACGATCGTTCCGATTGGGATCTCTCATCGATCATCCTTATGATGGAATATGAAATGTTCCACGTGAGAGTGACAGTTTCGCGTCTTGGGATTCCATATCCGGGGACACTCCCTTTTAGCCGAGCGAAATCGGCGGTGCGTACCTATGTGCCGATGAGCGCCGACAAGTGCCGATTAAACGCATCGCTAATGAACTAGCAAGGCCGAAAATTAGAGTACGAAATGGCAACCTTTATCAGACTATAACATTTCAGATCGTAAATATTTTGCCATTTGTGTATACATATATTTATTTTTATATTTTACAAATATCTTTAAAATTTATTAATCTATGATAAGCAATTGATTCTCTGAAAAATATCTTTAAAATTCTTAGAAGACATGTATATTATTTTTTTTTTTTAGTCATGAGTTCCGAAGATACAACTGATACAACTGACAATGCGGCGGCGGCGACGGCGGCGGCAGCTGATTCCTTTGGCGTAGCTGCACAAACAAATTGGGTCCAATTTGAGGAGGAGGCAGATTCGAAAGAAGCTACCAATGTCGAAAGAAAAGCCGGCAACAGTAGCGCGCCCGCCGTAATAAAGCCCGAGTCGGTTACTGTACAAGTTGACAAAATCGGCAAAAGTATTGACCCACCTGATATTAATAATAAGAAAACCAATGAGTACAGAGGTGCTGTGATAGCAACCGAATCCGTCCAGATTAACTTAGATAGATCAGGTTTAAGTCGTTCTATCACGTCCGAGACTCCGAATCTTAAATTACCGTCTGATGTTCGAACGTCAGAAGTCAAGAGCGCTTCTTTGAAGACCATTGACCTGAGGGATGTGTCCAATGGAAGAAATGCACCGAGTAACGTTATCAATACGTCGATTGGAAACATCAGGCAGGGTTTTGCCAATGGCGATACCATAGTTACTCTTCTGCCGGTAAATACTAAGTGGCCGTGGATTACTCCGGCCAGATTCAGACCGGAATTGGTGCCGGAGGAATTGATGGCACAAGGATTAACCGTACGTGTAATTTATCATATCCTTTTTTCTTTCTCGACAGCATTACAATCTGAATCGACCTTTATTTCATTATAGCTGTAACTTTTGCGAGAGAAGTTATAAGCTTTTTGCAGTACTGAATTTTGTTTTTAGAGTAATCTATTTGGACGTTTCCTGTCCTCTAAGAGATAATATCGCAACTTGTTTATCTTGAGATTAATTTCATATTCGGATACTTTGGTTTTATCACAATAGAATCTTTTCCCACTTGTAATTTCGAACGTCATATATACATATATACATGTGGCATGGTATTTCTAGAAAACAAATCCAAAATTTCAAGTCAACAAGTGACTATTTCAATATTAAACTACTTAGCACGGCAATTTATTCATATTATTTTAATATATTTGTATATTGATTTTATATTTATTTTACTTTTAGTAATACAAAATTCTCTGTATTTGATTAAATTATAGGATGTGATTTGAAATATTAAAGTAATTAAGAGAAATACCAGCTCACACACTTTTTCTTATATACTCTAAAGAGATAAAATGATCAGCAGTCTAACAAAACAGATATATTGCAGCTTACAGTAGAAGATTATGTTCACATAATGGAATTACTTGTGAACGATGTACGCTTCAATATGTATAACATATGCTACAAGAGGATTCTCGTCCTTTGGATATTCACCGCCTTCGTTGTGCTGCTTGGTTTATTGTTCTCTGGTGTGACTGGCCTCACTTTATTCGGACTAGGTGTTATGTGGTTAATCCTGAATGCAGCTGCAATATTCTTCTGCATGTTTATCAAAATAAAGCTCAATCACAACCTTGAGAAATGTATGGCTCAAGTTAACAAACATTTATTAAGACATAAAATATTATTGGGATTAGATGATAGAGGAAAAATCTCCTGCCACAAAGTTAATCTGTGTTTCATATACTTTGACACTACGGATTGCGTTGTAAGTGAAGCTTTTATTAGAATAGAATTTAATCACTTGTTTTTTAAAGTAATATAAAATGACATAAGAGAATACTCTTTTTAGATAAATATTCATGTACATACAAATACTTTTTTATTATAACATTTTATAATATTTACATATATCTGCGAAATATTAATATAACAGCTTATTTTGTGATAGAAAAAGTTGCAAGAAGTAATAGAACGAGAAGAACGCGAAGGTAGAATAATTGGTGGCGATGATGCAAATGATATAAATCGACAACGAGAATTACAGCAACGTATGGACATTGACGACAGTGACATTGTTATACAAGGCAGCACCACTACAAGAATCTCTCGTAAACAGGTAAATGCATGATCTCTAGTCTAATTTTTTATTTATTTTTTATATTTCTCTATATTCTTAAAATTATTTCAATTTTATTTTATTTTAAAAAGTTTTCTTTATAATTCATATTTTCTTAATAATTTTACATTGATATTTTCAATATTTTATTAATTAGGCTAGATGTTGAGGAGCTAAAAATAAAAACTACTATTCTTTCATTTGTAAATCAATATGTGAAATAAGGCAAAAAGTTCAATTTTACATCCATTTTTTTCAGTTTTACTTTCTATTGATGTTTTTCTCCAAAGCATAAACATACTGTTTTATTTTAAGTATAGGTACAAAACATAGACAAAAAGAGTTCTCATATATGGCGTTGGAGCATCTTTAGCTCTTCAATATATAAGCCTTAATTGTTATATAAACTCGGTTTATTTGTGAAATACGACGTTACTAACTCCAAAAAGTTAAAATATTTTGTATTAAATATTTTGTTGTGCATTATATTAAACTACCAGGGTAAAAACGAACAAGTATTCTGCCGTTATGTGCAACGTTGGGCAAAGGATTACTTACGTCGGCGTTTGGATTGGACAGTTGACGAGGAGGGTGGAAATCCTTCTTCGCCACGTCATTTAGCGTCCGCTCTGTGTCCTTGTCAATATATAGAGGAATGGTTACGTAATAAGCCACGCGTTCAGGGCAGAGACTTTTGTCCTAGGTGGAGTAGTTTTCTCAGAGACAGAGGCATTTGAGAAATACGATTATTTCATGCTGCTTATAAAGATACACACGCTGTTTCACAATTACACAAAAATTGCAGAGATTTTATGATTTATTAAGTTTTCTCGAATGCGAATAACTAAACGTATAAATAGCTTCCAAAGAAAATTACAATTTATTTTTATCGATTCATAAATAATTTTTGGCGCAATCCTTTGTTTTTAAGACTTATGTTTAACATACATTTGTAAAAGTGGCCATCTTTTTATTGATATAGAAATAGCTGAACCGTACAATACACGATCGAGAATGCAACTTTTGTTTTAAATATCAAACATTTATTGCGTAAAAAAATTTTAAAAGAACTTTCTTCTCTTAAATTTTGTTAAAACTAACTTTTAATATGCTTACGAGCATAGTGATGTAATTACTTTACAATATCTCATAGGTTATTGTTTCTTATTGCTGTGTTTGTTATATTATTTTGGAAATTATGTTTACTGATGTCATTTATATACGTTTAATTTTAAAATATTTTTTAAAATGTACTTAATGTTTTATTTAAAAATATCAAAGTATTACAGGTAACTTACATGATAAGTGGCAATTTGGCTCAAAGAGAGAGATTGAAATTAATATAATTATAGAGTTATATAATAGAACGGGATCGTTTTTCGTTTTCAGAGCAAGACTCATTTACATTCCGCTAAAGACTCATTTAACGCTAAATGTGATGTTCATATATTGGGTCATCTAAAAAGTATCCGCGATTTTTGTCACTAGATGGTGTTGATGGTCAATACCATCTAGTGACAAAAAACCGCGGATACTTTTTAGATGACCCAATATTTTACTCATAAGATAAAGATTATATTCAATTTTATATTTTGAAGATCATATCATCATCACATTTAATGTTAAAATTGATAATAGATCTGTGGCTTATTATTAACACAATCTATAGAGATAGATAATGATGGATATAATAATTTTTATTTTGATCTATTCAGCATTCCAGTAAATTGTTTCTTTTAAGAGACAAATAGTGTACAAATTTTTAGGGCTAATTTTTATCAAGCTTTCCCATTTATTTATATTGATAAATATGTCAGTATTCTTCTCTTTTTATAATAATATAAAATTTTTTTATGCCCTAATTATATTTAACAATCTTGAGCTTGATGCAAATAATTTTTAATTCATAATGAACAATTTATAATAACGGTGAAAACACTTTTATGACAAAAAGTCATTATCAAGCATAATGGTCAGCCAGAGACATCATTAGCATACAGATGATTATATTTACGAATTGTACTATACTATATTATGAAGAATATTACTTATAATATCAGTTTTCAACAGTTATATATGTGATACAAATATATAAGAGTGCGTCCAGATTATCGAGCCAAAACTCGAACTAAATCTCAAGCCGCAAGCATTTCGGTAATTTGTTACACAGCTCGGCAAAAAACAACAAAAGTTAGCTGAAATGCTCGCGGTTCGAAGTTCGATTCAAGTTTTGGCTCAATAATTTGGACGCAATCTTATATTGACACTTGTTTTAACATAAAATTAAATATATAAAGAGAGAGCTGTATAATTGAGAGAGAGAGAGAGAGAGAGAGAGAGAGAGAGAGAGTTTTGACAGAAAATTGAAAGGTAGAAGGAAAACCACACATTACTATTTTGCATGAAGCAAAGGGTTCTACTGAATGATGATGGTATGTGTTGACAGGAACGGGCGGAGTTGCTGTTGCTGAGGTATGCGTCTCGATGGGCACGTCACTTCGTGCGTCGCAGACTTGATCTGGTTATAGACTCGCAGGAACGTGATAGAGGTATTATGGGTCTGTCTGTTCCACCGCGCCATTGTGTCTCCGCCCGTTGCCCTTGTCAATTCATTGAGGACCATCTCAAACACAAGCCGAGAGGCAAGTTGACGTTACGTAAATTTTTTCTAATGCCAGACTTCACTAGATGACTGCCACTGGAGACTGATATCACTTTTAAAAAGGGCACTTTAGAATCTTACGATAAAAATCTTGGAGAAAGAAATTATGCTGATGTGTCTCTGACACTTCAATCAATTTAATGTTGTACAGTCAAGTTATTATGCAATAACTCATTCAACAATTAATATTTTTAAAATTACGATTAGAATGTAAGCGCAACATAATGAATGATTATATTATTGATATTGCAGGATAGCTTATTTATTCTTTTAACATTTTTTAAAATTGTACTTTTTATTATATATACTGCAGTAATGAAATTAACGATAAAAAATTTATATATGCATCAAAAATTGTCGTACTATAAAAATACGAAATGATGGTGCTATATTTTTATTAATAAATATATATATATGTTTCTATAATCGAGTAAAATTTATTCATGAATTCTAATCATAAATTGAGACTGTCTATCTTTTATATCACATTCCACGTATTGATAATTTATTGAAAAATTAATGCATCCAGAAAGCATTTAATGGAACATATTAATATATCACAAAAAATATTTCTTACAGTATATTTGTTATTTAATATTTTTTATCTGTGCTTCCTTTTTTTTATTTTGTGTATACATATATACAATATATATATATATATATATTAGGTGTTGGAATTAATTCGTAGCGCACTACAATCTTCGAAAAACTTTTTAAACTTTTATAATATTCATAGATATCAATATTGATTTAAAAAAAATTTCGTCTACAATTAGCAATTATGCTTGATTGTGTCACTAAATAACATATATATTATTATATATAATATGTTATATCCTATATGTTATATGATACGTATAATATAGGTTTTCAGCTTCGAAAATATAATTTTGAAAAGTGCTAAGAGTAAAGGAGACACTTTGTCACGATCATACTTTTCAGATTTTAAATTTAATGTTCAAACATTGAGCAAAACGTGCATTATAAGATACTGAAGTAAATAAAATTGTTCATCATTTTAGAGGGTAAAATTTGTTTTGTTTTTGTCAATTTAAAAGTATGGAACCTACACAACGTCATTATTTGTCTTTCCTAAGTACACACAACTTGCGTCTTGTTTATTTGTGACTAATATAATTTAATTAAAGGTTTTATCATTATTTAAGATTGGGAGTTTTATAGGAAGTAACAGTACTGATAAGGATTAAAACGCCGAATAGCACTATCGTACTCGATATACTGTCGTCGCGTTTATCTCGGTTCTACTTTTGGGTTAAAAGAAAATTTTTATTATTACTTATTATTTTTGAGCCTTTATTATTACATTTGCCATAGGTTTGAAGAAAGACACTATAATTTTTTAATAGTATGGGATTTATACTAAAGACAGGGTATATCAGATATATAGACATATAGATTAATATTTGAATAGAATTATGAAATATGTATTGTTTGATTATAAGAATAATGGATCCTCTCTGATAAGACAATAAATCTAATAATTATTTGTTAGTTTTTTGAAAATATTAATTTTTTTTTTGGATTAAACATATATAATGGCTCTATTTTCTTTATATAGTGCAATCGTACGTATACAATCATAAAGAGCAGCTAATTACAATGAAATTATTCAATATAATTAACGTTACGAGATGATTCACTTTTAATTATATGTTATAAATGCTGCTGCACAAATTATTAATACATTGTAAGCATCACTATCGCGCGCGCAATTTTATATGTATTAGGTATACACGAGATATAAAATTTGCACATTTATTCTAATCCGTCCTAAAATCTGCATAGATATAAGCCGTAGTTAAGAAGATGTAATATACTTTTATATTGTGTTTACGTAGTACTTATTACAAAATCCACCACAAAATTGTAATTGTACAGAACCGCCGATATTCCTATATACAAACTGTAAAGCACTTTTATATGATTGTTAAAAATGTTGTGGAATAAAAATATATACATATGTCTATTCTTTACCAATGCCGTGTACTTTTATGTAAAACTGTAAAAATTGATTGAACATTAATCTTTTTTTTTAGTCTCAGAGCTATTAATTTTTGTGTAATACATTAATATGTAACTAACATACTAATCTTCCTTGCATGCAGCCGGACGGAAGATGATGAATCTCAATATATTACCTCATCCGCATATCATCAGCACGTAATAATAATTTCTAATATTATGTAAGTATTACATCAAGCAAGTTTTACTCACATTAGCGAAATTTAATAAAATGCAAAAAATTTACATTAGCTCTTAGCAGAATTAAATTAATTATTAAGTTCAATAGCACTTAACGTATCAGAGTAAAAAATGAAATTAAATTTAGATGCACTTTGAATAGATGAATATTTTTTCTTGTACAACAATATCCAATTTGCTAAGAGGTCTTTACGTCGCGTGTTTTAACAAGAAGAAACTCTATCGCTATTATTACTACATTAATTTTATGGCCAATTACTTTCTGTCTTTGCATGCATGGTTATTTGGGAGTTTATGCATCTAATAACACTTTAAAATAATAAAAAGGAGAAAAAATTAAAAAAATTACAATCCTATTTGGCTTTTATATTACATTATTCTAATATTTTCGGAATTCTCTCTATTTTCGGAATGTCTCTCTATTTTCTTTTCCTTTCAAGTTTTAAGCATAGATAAAAAATTCTATTAACATCATATAAAATAATAGATTTTATTTGAAATAAATAACATATTTTCTTCTTATTGAACATTATACTAAGATTGTATTTAATTTAAACTTGTGTATCTTGATGTCAAAAAAGTAAAATCTAAATATGTTATATATTTATACACATACATAAACGTTTTGTTATTTCACTAATACATTATTTATGACACATATGAATTTATATGTAGTGATACATTTTTTTTAAGATGTAAAGGAGGTGCTATATAAGCCATCAGGGTATGCATTACATTTGCATCCTTGTTATTATTAACATATATTAATCTATCGACATGATTTTTCTAGGGTATCCACCAGGATTTACATGGTGTGCCTACCTTAGTGAACCTGTGACCCGATTTGACATGGTACCAAGTTTTTCCCATTAAATAGTTTCTGTTTTTACAGATCGTGTTGATACAATATCGTTCGAATTTATATATAAACAGATGAGCTATATGTCAAAATAAGATATACCGTTATATGTACAGAGAACTATTTACACGTTAATTTAATTATATATCTTTTTATTCGCGCATTTGTTTAGAATAGTTACTTAAGCGAAAATTATCTATTATCAGATTTTATAATATATATATTTTTTATAACTATATTCTTTGATATTAACAATAATTAATCTGTTTTCGAGCTTCTGATCATTTTTTAATATTATATTTAATATATTGCTCATATAGTGATTTAGTGATTTAAATTATTGGTTAAAGCTGTTTGATCTCTTATTCGGAAACTATTCGCAGAAGCAATGAAATAATTTTCTGAAATAGTTGTGCGCACGACAGTATTATAAGATATAAATTAATCGTATCAATTTATATATAAATATATTTTTGTCGTATAAGGTATTATTATATGTGAAGATAGCTATACGTTTAACAGGCAATACTCGGTAATCTTTATTAATCAAAGAGTTATAAAAAAATTTCAAATAAAGGGAGTGCATTGTTTCATAAGAAAACTATATTATGCTAGAAAATATTAAAAAATGTATACAATAAAAATATATAACAATCTCTTTTTATCATGTTATTTCATTAAGAAAGCGTAATGCAATTCAATTTTTATTTAAGACTATTTTTGATAACTCTTTGAATAACTGAAGCTACCGTACGGTTCCTTTTAATTGCTACTTTGCATATCTTAACAAATATAAAAGTATAATGTAAGAATAATTTGTAAGTTTTTATATGCAAGAAGCAAGAGGAAATCATAAATCTTTATAGATGTTATTCATCACAATAAATGTGATAGATTGTATTTATCGTAGCATCATGCTACAAGTAATGTTAGACATTAAGTTATTACTTGTGCCTTGTTACAAATTTCGTTCGGATTGATCTATGAAATATGATGTATCATTAAATAACGTATCGATCTGTGTAATCGGTGTACTGTTCAGTGTACTAATATATATGAGTACGCGTACACAAACGCATATCAATGTTAAGAACATAAAAAAATTATTGACAAAGATTTTATTAAATACTTATTATAGATATGATATAATTACTGGTATCTTACAAAATATCGTCAATGTTTTCTTAATATGAATTCAATTGTAATAGTTACCAATTAAAAATGTATTTTATATAGTAGATGTATTCATCTACTTATTTTAAGTAAGCAAAAGCTTCAGAGAAAGGCATATAAAATATATATTAGCAAAACATTAACAATGGTCAAAATTTTATGCATTTCAAAATAATTTCTCCATTTGAGGGGCTAAACTATTAAAATAACGGAATGGGATTAGTACGCCCTTGCAAATATGAATTTATTTCCTTAAGTTACCAAAGCAGCTTTTGCTTGTTTTCTAATGTCATCCGCAAGCCTCTTTATTTCTTCGTTATCTGCATGCATTTGTTGAATCTCTTTCTTTAAGACGCATTCCAACTGTTTTAACTGCTGTTTGGTACTCAAATAAGTTTTCACTTGTTTGTATATATCATCAGTGTTATTAACACTTGTTGAATTGTAAGACTCTTTCATGCATAACTCACCTGAAATACATTCATAGGCATATAATCTATCAATTCATTTAAACTAATAAATCGTCCTGTAATTAAATACAAGAAAAATTAAATGCGAGTTTTTCCAGATTTTACTTGCTATGCTTTACAAGAGAAGGTTTTAAAAATGAGTGACAGTATAACGATTTTTAATTATAAATATTGCAAATGTTTACTTGCGATTTTAAACGCTACGTCATCTATCACAGCTTTATCGAGGTCTTCCAGCATGTGTTCATGGCTTGGCATGTGAGGCCTCTCTGGCAAGTTGTTTTTCTTGTTAGTGAACATCATCGAAATAATCAAGATATAAGGATCAAAATACCAGTTTTATCCTTTATATTCAATCACTGCGTTAAATATTGTCTTGTTCAGAAATAAAGATTGTAGATTTATCCTTTCTAACTCTAAATTGTCTCCGTCAATACGGAATCGACGTTCACGGTTCAGACATTGCTGTTCTCGTTGCGTTGCACTTTATTTAACTGATGCTGAACCTGTCGGACCTTTTCCTTTTTCTCCTTTTCTCTCTGATGTCTAAATATGCGCCTATTTCATTTTAAGTGCAAAAAGTGTAACGTAGTTGCAAAAGTGTAACTACGAATAACCTCTTGTTGATCTTGATGCCTGAGGATCTTTGTTAATTTGGCTGTGACAAAAAAGAGTTTATTGCCAGATATAGAACACAAATCAAAAGCAATTCTGTATTTAGAAAATACGAAAATCTACATAAAAACGTATGTAATTAATTAATAATCTTTATCGATTATTGGAAAGTATTATATATTTACTTACATCTTATCCATGTGATATGTCCACATGTCATTTTGCATATTGATTTTATTGAATTAATTTTTTTTATTAGATGCCATCCGTAACGTTAAAAGATGTGGATCAAGCAAAATTTGTCAAGGCCTTTGCAGCCTTTCTGAAAAAGTGAGTAAGAAATATGAATAGAATAATTAGAATGTAACCTATAAATAGAATGACAAGTAGAATATTTAAAATGTAATCTAATCTCTTATAATTATATTTAACATAAGTTTAACATAAGTTTTATTATTTAAAATTATTTGTTTTTTTTATTTATATTTCTTTTTTTCTTTATAATAGTAAAAATTCTTCATTTTACATATTGAAGTTTTTCTGGTAATAAACATATAAGACAGAGCTCCAAGATGTCATTGCAATTCGAACTACATTGTACTTCATAAAATTTTAGAACTGGTAAGATGCGAGTGCCAGAATGGGTGGATATTGTGAAGACAGCCAAATTCAAAGAGCTGGCACCCTATGATCCTGACTGGTACTATATTAGATGTGCAGCCTTGGTGCGTCATATTTATATTCGTAGTCCCGTTGGAGTTGGTGCAGTCACAAAGATCTTTGGTGGACGCAAACGTAATGGCACTCATCCCAGCCACTTCTGTCGATCAGCAGGCAGTGTCGCAAGAAAAGCACTTCAGAGCCTGGAGCAGTTGAAACTTATCGAAAAGGCACCCCTTGGTGGACGTAAACTGACCAGTCAGGGACGCAGGGACTTGGATCGTATTGCTGCACAAGTTAAAGCTAAGAGCAAAAAGCAACTTAAGCTTCAAGACGCAATTGTAATTTAATACCCTTCTTCTATAATAAAATAAAAAACATAAAATCTCAATTCTCTTCATTAGATATACCCTGCATATAATTTTGTTTTGATAAAATTTATTGAATAATCTCCAAGAATATTAATGAAAATTAAAAATTTGTCAGATGCCTTATCTGCATAAAAATAAAATTGCAGGAAAATCGGATTTAGGAAAAAACTGTACAAATATAAAATGCGTACTTATTTAAAATAAAATAATGTAATCATTCACATATATTTGCATTCACACATGAGAAAAATTTCATTTTGATAATTTCATGCAATGGAACGTATTAAATGTTTATTATTATTACAAATTACAAATTGATGTAAAGTATTACAGGACAATGATCGCTGCCGTAAACATCCTTCCTTATAATATTGTCGCACACTTTATTTTTAATCCGTTCTGATATTAAGAAATAATCTAGTCGCCTGTATATAAAAAATTTTAATCAATGATGTAAGATTTGTATAACATAGTTTTTACACATATATATCATAATTAGATGAAAGTAAAAATGCTAATAAAAATAACTTACCATCCAATGTTCTTACTACGTGCATTGGCAAAATATGACCAAAATGTATATGCACCCTCTATTTCAGGATACAATGATCTAAATGTATCTATAAATCCGGCAGCTAAGAAATCGGTCATATCATTCCGTTCTTCTTTAGTAAATCCGGCATTTTTAGTGTTTGTTTTGGGATTTTTTAAATCTGGAAATCAATGATAATAAATTAACGTTTCTATTGTTTCATTCACATACTAATCTAATATTGATACTTTATATTTAAAAAATTATATTACTAATATTAATAACATTACGCAATAATAAAGAGATTCACTTATCGTTTCAATATTGATACTATACCAATTTCTTGATGAGCTACATTCATGTCACCACATATAATAACAGGTTTCTTTTGATCTAATTCTTCAATATGTTTTTTGAATAATTTATTCCATTCCAATCGTTTTGGTAATGTCACCAACTTCTGTCCAGCATTTGGCACATCTGTTACATTATATTCTATTAGTCAATATCAAACATTATTTTTGATGAAATTACAAATATTTCGGAAGAGATAAAATTATTTAATTTTAAAAAATTATATTAAAATGTTTACACATATAGTATATTGAATTGTACATGTATTTTGATTTTTGTAAATATAATTGGAGTTTATTTTAAGAGAATTAAGTAATTTTCTCTTACAAACGTTGATCACGAAAAATTCTGGGAACTCCACTGTGATTATTCTACCCTCGGTATCAAAGGTAGAATCATTTAAACCATATTTCACAGAAATCGGTTTTTCCTTGCTGAACAAAGCAACTCCACAATAACCTGGTTTCTTACCTATTGAAGCATACTTATTAATTATATGATTTGTGTGTGTGTGTGTGTGTGTGTTTGTGTGCGTGTGCGTGCGTATTCAGTGTGTTTCTTAAAATTTCTTAAAATATATCTTACTGTCAAGGAAATAGTGATGATATCCTGGCAATTTGACTTCGTCTGGCATTTTACCCTTGTCACATTTTGTTTCTTGCAAAGCAATTATATCTGCATCTTCTTTGGTAATATAGTCGAGTCCATGTTTCTGATTAAGTATAAATAGAAGAATCATTATAAGTATGATACATTAAGAAAATGTACCCGTTGACATAATGTACCTTGATTACAGCCCTGATCCCAGAGACATTCCATGTACAGATCTTCAGATTATGCTTCTTTCCTTCCTGATTTGACTTTGTACATCCAAAATCTATTTCATCCAAGTTTGTATCTGTCTTATTTTGCATTTGTTTGGGTTCATTTTTCGCCTTCTTTGAGGTAGATGAATCATCACTTTTATCAGTGCTTTTTGATGCCTTTGAATCAATTTTTGTCCTCTTTGGAGTAGGTTCATCATTTGTATCGTTTATACGCTTTTTATTTGAAGTTCCATTTTCATTTAATTTTTGTGTTTTCTTACCAGGTTTAGCTTTGGAAGAATCAGCCTAATTTTAAGGGAAACTGATAAATAGTCTAGTAATTTTTTTTTATTAGTATAAAAAGTTATGGAAATAAGTATAATTATCTGATAGTTAAATAGAAAATTTTTTGTAAATAATATAATAATTACATTATGATTTACATACAAAAGGATACCTTAATGAGTATATAATTAAAGAATTGATAATTAAAGGAAAAATATTAAATATATTTGCTTATTTAGTACATAAATTAATCTTGCATACATATATTTTCCATACCTTTGCTTTTGAACTTTGTTTTCGTGGCATGCTGAAACTTTGTTGTTTGTGAAGAGAGAATACTGCGCAAGATATAAACAGTATTAATGTCTAATGGTTAGCGAGTTGTATCAATGCTTCTAAATAATCTTTCAACTTAATAACACCGATATTGCAAGTGGAAGATACTGAAAATGTATTTTCAATTATTTGTAATAATGTTAAAAACGCCGGTACAATTTGTCTTTGTATGATTGAAAGTTTAACTTTCGAAGTTCTCAATCTCGTCGACGAATATAATAAACATAAAATTGCTACTGCGTCACAGCTAACATTACAGTTATTAAAGAGATTTCATTATCTGCCCTTAATCGATAAATACATAGCCTAGTTGTGGCGTCTAACGGTTCAATCGACTCTTCCGAATCTCGGCCCAGCTTACAACCTCCACTTACAACCTCAGTGATCGCGTCGATCGCGATCAAAAGGACGGTGCCAACTTTCTAATTTATGATACCTTTTTTTACAGACCTGAATAATATCCGTATGCGTAACCGGAAGGGACACAATGACGCGACACAGCCTATACAACTTCAAATTTAGTGCCATTCGGCATTATGTTGGTGTACAGGGGTCCAAACCCAAACCATCCAACCTTTCCTTCCTTGGAAAACAATTTTCAGCGCCACTGTATGTATTTTGTTGACTACTTTTTGATTCGGAAGATGAAAAGAAATATTATATTATGTATATAGGTAATATCGTTTTTTTTATTAGTATTCGTATTTCTTTTTGTGTATAAGCACATTGTTAAAAAAAGTGCGAATATATATAATGCAAAACATTATTTTTTTGTTATCTAATATAATATTTTTTCTATATTTTATTTTATATTTAGATTTTTAAAATTAATTATTTAATAAAATGATTAATTTGCCTGTATGATTTAGACGAGTGTCAAGATGTTAATTCTGCAAATATTATTTTGCTGCATCAGTGCTATATGAGAATCTCATATGTATTACTATCCTACAATTTCTTATCTAACAGATAAATTCAAATACTGAAGATAGTATTTCTACAGTTGAGCAGATTGAACGATAGAAGTACTTACAACTTTTTTTATAATAGCATATATTTCCACAGAAATTGAGATATTGTCGAATTGCTTTTTCAAAAAAGATCATTCAAATAATTATTTTAGAATTATTGCAGTAGTATAACGTATGATTATCTAATATATTAATTTTTGTTTTATACACACACACACACACACACACACACACACACGCAGGATGTTTTCTCTACTTGTTTATTTAAAATATCTTCGTTATTTTTGATGATACGAAAAAATATAAGATCAAATTTGTTTTGAGACTTCAAGGTCACCTCTACTTTTTTAAATGGAATGTATGATTTTTTTTACACAATGTGCTTCTTCTAATTATTTTTAAATTATTTTAATTGATCAAGTATATATATATATATATATATATATATATATATGTATTCATACACATATATATTTCATTTGCTATAATACAGCTATGAAAAATGTCTAATTCATTTTAACTCAATCTCACTAGCAATATCTTCATGAAAAGCAAAACAATCTAAATTAATTTACAGAAGAGTAAGATGAAATTTAATAAAATTAGGCATTCTCAAAGTATCAGTAAATTCGCTCTAGCCATAGTAATGCCAATATGTTTGAATATGATGCAGAATCATTACATAAGAATATTTCCGGGCTCGATTTATAATATTTTCAGTTTCAATAGTTTATTGTATATAAATCAGGTATATATATAAAATAAACTTATAAAGATTGTATGCACTTAAATTACGCGGCATTACTGTCGGTCAGAAACGCCAGATTCTTCATTCATGACAACGACGGTCTTGGGTATTCTCGAAGAGAGACTTTGGCGTTGATCGCAAGGCAATCACAACGATGGAACCGTGACACAAAATAGGATGCACGTTGCTTAAAAAGGAATGTATCTTAACGTGAATTAAACATCCTAGAATCCTCGATATCATTCTATGATATCAGGCCATTAACGATATCGAGAAGCTATCATTAAAAACGCAAGATAATACCAATGATACTGCAAAATCGAATCATTTGCAAAGATCGAATCCAGAGAACGTTTCTAGAACGATCGTGATCTAGAATAATCAAGATTTTCAAGGTTCCTGATATATTTACTGTAACTATATTTAATTAAATTATAACGGCTCACGTGAGAAAAATGTACATAATTAAATCTAAAATATAAATCATATGGTACAAATTGCGCAAATTTCTATTGTCGCCACTAAAATTTACATGACCGAATGTTTTGATCCTCGAGATCCGTTTTATCGTTATTCTGAGACTGCTTTTTCTCGAATTATGAATAAGATCTGTCGATTGTTCATATAATTATTATAAAACAAAGCACTTGTACAGGCACGTTCAGTGTAAGTACTAATATCAATAGCCTCGTGTAACAAACACTTCAACGTTGTATGTACGTCCGCAATTATGTAGTAGAAAAGTTTTCAAGGCTAATTAACAGTCAGAAAAATCGACACAATATACAGTGTGGAGTATATACATATGTACGCACATTTCGTATACAATCTATAAACACAATCCTCTTTTTTTCTCTCTTTCACACGTAATACGAGGCACATGCTGTGATATAATCTAGATCTGTCCATTTTATCTAATGTGATCCGAATCTTCATTTCTCGGGTTCGTCGGGATGCTCTGTCTTAATATGATGGGCAAATGTGTACT